ACTTTTCTTTGCATGCGGCGGCGGCCGGCCGCTGTCACGAGGACACAGGGGCTCCTCCTTACTTTACGAGCTGGCTGATAAGCCACGCCGACATGTCTCCTACCGAGTACAGCCTCGCGCCAGGCTACAGCCCAGAGTACCATGGCAACAGCGGTGGCGGCTCTACCGGCGGCCTAGACCACCATCATCACCATCACCATCAACACGGACCCCGCGGGGTTGGTTCCGGGGCTCGGTGAACGGAGCTACGGTCAGTATGCACCACCACCACCATACACATCCAAGGACCGTGAAGCGGAGACCCACGGCAAACCGCAAGGAGAGGCGGCGGACCCAGAGCATCAACTCGGCTTTTGCGGAGCTGAGGGAGTGTATCCCTAACGTCCCTGCTGATACTAAGCTGTCTAAGATCAAGACGTTGCGGCTGGCCACCAGTTACATCTCCTACCTGATGGACATCCTGGACAAGGACGGACAGCACGGAGACACGCAGGCGTTCAAGGCCGAGCTGAAAAAGACGGAGGCTCGGGAGGAGAGGAGGAAGAGAGAGGCGGTAAGTGCGCGTTTGCACTATCGTCGTGAACTCAAATGACAGGCCGTTTTGTTCTCATAATTTCGTCAAGGAGAGCAAATAACTTAATCAAATAGGCTATGAGTTTGGATCCATGGCTTACTTTACGACTTACTTTACGATTGTTAGAAATACTCAGGCCTACATGACCTGTAAACGAGTTAAAGCTGACATAGCACATTTTCTCTCCGGCTATTGGGTTAAACTCTAAAATTAAATGAGCCCTGGGATAGTCTATAGCTGACATTCCCATAAGAGACGGTGGTTTTTGGTTTGAAATAATTCTGCTACTTTTTGAGATTGGGGCTTGAGAACTGTTGAAAATACACCGAGACTGTTAAAGGCCTTTTCCAGTGGCACTTCAGCAGACAGGCCACATATTCGAGGTACTGAGAGTAAAAAGAGGCAGGAACCAGGAACGGCCGAGCGTCCAGTGGGTTCGGCAGCCGGAACCCACGGCCTGATAAACACGTACATTTTATGCTAGTGGATTGTAATCTCATCTAAAATTGCAACTCTGTCAATTGCACTCAGTGCAATTTATTTATTTGCCGATATGAGTCATAGCCTAAATTCGTATGTCTCCGTGGGGAGATCTGTCCTGAAATGTAATTATTTCTTCTTTCTCTTAATGGCTTATCTCACGAAAATGGTCGACTGAAGATCACAGTTCACCATCCAGGAAATATCATCTCTTCAACAGTTCTAGTTAAAAAGCAGCGCCCGACAGGAGTAAGACAATAGGAAAGCTTGGTTAACAGACGTAACAGTGATTTGGTTCGTTGTCTTAAATATTCTCGGTCTATTAGACCCACCATTCACTACTGCATTAGGAAAAAGGACTTCATCTATGAAAAAACAAAGTGGTGTAAAATCAGCTGGCATATATGTAGAACACAATATTTAAAACTTAATATAAATATGTGACAATTTTTTTAAAGTATTTGAATACAAGTCATTTTAATCCACTTCTACCTCCGCTCTTTTGTGCATCTAGATTTATATCCGTTAAGAGCGTCATGAATAAATTATGAAAGACGAGAAACTACAAGCTTATCAAAACAACGCCAGGCTATATGTCAACGGAGTTTATGTGAGATCGTGGACGGTCTGGTTGGTAAAGACCTTTGGTCCTTGTCACTGTCAGCAGCTTGACGTTTGCTAGGGGTGTGATTCGTTATGTTGACTCCACGGGGCAGGCTGCTGTCGCCTTGAAGGGTAAAAGTGAACATCAGTCCAGTGTCATGTCATGTCGTCTGCATCATGACTAAAACTGTGCAATAAATAAAGTTTAAGCAGAAGCTAGTGGAGCTGTAATGAAAGGGCTTCACTGACTAGCTGTGGGTGTTGTGCTGACTGGCCTCAGCCTTATCTAATTTAGCAGGAGAACATAAAGATGGAGGACGGACCATCCAAACAACATTTAGATCTCCAAAACCAGCTGAATGTTATGTCATTATTTACAGTGTTTAGCTGAGTGAGGTGCCTAGAGAGCCAGCATAAACCCATCTAAAACAGTTGGGTACACAGAATAGCACAAAGTAAACAGCAACAGAGTTTCCTGTGCAGAAACTACACACACATATACTGTACATTTAATGGAGGGTAACCTTTAGCTCTATTTATCTGCGGGAGGACTTAAAAAATTCTGTGAAGCATAGGGTGCGAGCTAAAGAGAGAGGTAACAGTAACATGTACATGTAATTACTTGTTTTTTGTAATGACTCCCTAACCACACAGATCACAAAAGGAACCAAGTTACTTCATCCTCATTCATCCCCATATGAACAAAATGATTTTAATGCAATAGTCCTAAAGATCAAGTCTATATACCAGTGAGGTCAGAAAATCGGTTGCCATCCTCAGACAGCTTGGAGCCAGTAGGGTTCAGTCATATATGTTAGACCTGCAACTGGTTTTCCTAGCAACACTTTGAATCTTCCTTACGGCATAGTTTTGTTCCCAGCTCTGCTTTTGCTGCCCACAGCTTTACGAGATTGTGCAGTTGCCAACAATTCTTTGTTAGGTGCAAGCAAGAGATTTAAACTCAGTTCAACTGTTCTTAATTGCCTTTTCCATTCACAGAAGCTCAGTTGTTTTGTATACATTAGCATAAATCTACATGTGCTCTTGCAAACACAGTGGCCAGTACCTGTAGCGTTGTACACTACCTACCTATGTATGATCACTGGCTAAAGGTTCTACAGTCCTTTGTTTACAATGTCATTGACTGCTGATGGAACTGAGCATCCTGTCATTCTTTCTACATGCTTTATTATTTTGACCCACAGTTGGGTTGTTATAAATGCCCACATCCTCGCCACCACATCGTATACATGACCATATAGAGCAGGTCAGAAACAACTCGAAGAGAATAAAACTGAATAATTATTTCCTGTCTGCTGCTTAGAAAGTGTGGTGCATAATGGAAGCCAGAAAGTTTCTTGCTCACACAGCAAACTGCAATCAGTAGTAGTAGGACACGGCCTGCATAAAAACTCATTCTCAGCTCCTTTATGAAATTCAAGTCCTGGATTCAAATACACAGATCATACTCCTATTACAACTTAGAAACTTTAATGAAATGAATACCCTAATTTGTTAAAAAAAAAAACATATTGAAAAAAAAGCACAAAAAAAAAACTGTGTTAATGTAATGTGTTAGAGAAGTGGCAGTAAATGAGTTTGATCCTTATTGTAGCTAAGTGCACTGCAGTCTGCTCTCTTATTACTGAGTGAGTGATCAGCCCTACTTACCTCCAAACCTGCAAATAAGAGGTTTTTAAACATGTGATGTGGTGTGTGACATGGTGTGTGCAAGCAAAAATTAAGATTTTTATTTATTTTTTTCTTCTGCCACTCTTGCATTTTGCCACTGATTACAGCCATGGCTTACACCAGGCCTTTAGCTGTTTGGTTTATTGTAATCTAGTGGAAAAATCCAATTTCCAATAATTCAGTCCAGTCCAGTCCTGACTTCCCAGAGGCAGACATGGGGTGATGTTGGGTTTTATCCAAAACAAACCTCTTTTGATTGCTTTGACTTGTTTCAGACAACTATTTGAATCCATGTTTTTATTACATGGGCATGATTTTTCATTTCATCTTTACATTTTATAAATCACAAACTGATCACAAATTAAGTCATGATTAGCTCATTTCACTGGTATAAAGATTTAGGCTTATAACACTGGGAAATCATTAGCCTTTGGTGACAGCACATTATAGGCTGAATACAGCAGGCCTTCTGATTTTATAAGCAGAGGTGATTTTTTTTCTCTTGAAGACCTTGTTTTCATTATTATCACTGTATCATGTATGTTGACATGTTGGTCCTGTATGTCTGCAGGATACAGAGAATTTAATTTTCCAGCCCAGCGCTGCATGAGCAAGCTGACTGGAAGCACACTGGCAGCGGTTCTAGTAAAATAGCCTGCTGCCTACTAGAGCCTGGACCTGGGAACTGGTGTGTGTCTGTGTGTGTGTCTGTGTGTGTCTGTGTGTGTGTGCTGCAAGAGCCTTCAAACATCCTTCAATTAACTGTGTAAACATCGTGTATGAAATTGTACATTAAAGATCTTCTGGCTGTTTGTTATTTACTAAGGTTTTAGTGGAAAGAATGAAACACTATTTACTAAATTAAGCAGACTGATAGTGCATATCTTTTTTTATAATTCAAGAAGGTTATAGTACAGTTTGCAAAATATGTATTATTAAAAAAGTACTTGTAACTTAAATTAGATGACCACTTTCGATGTTTATCAAATGTTTATATTACATAAAAACGACCTGTTATAATGACATTTTAATGTGCGCGGTGTCATGTCAGGAATAATAAGTAGCTTCTTTATATTAGAACATTTAACACTTTATAAAACTTTATTTTAAAAATTTTGTTCTTAAGAAACACTTGATTGAACTTAATTGATCAAACGCCAGTTAACAGTGTCCTGTCCGTTCAGCTGTCCTGTCCGAGCAGCGTTCATATCAGGAGTTTCTGGTGTGTTTCGTGTGATGTACACTTTCCTTTGCAGAGTGAACTAGGCCCACATAACTGTTGCTTTCAGCCTCCAGCTGAATTGGATGGACAGTGAATTATAGTGTTCAGCCTGTTAAACTGAACATTGGTTTACCGCCGGTCGCTCAAAACAAGGTGACACTGCGTCGTTACATTTGTGTACATAGCGACTGGAGATCCAGTCTTTCGCCGTGAAGAAGCGGACCACATGTCAGAGATGACTGATTTCGCCTCTGTTGCAATACAGCAGACTGGTGTCAGTGTGTCACCAAACACAACACTCACAGCGACGGCACAAAGTTCATTCACAACCTTCACTAGATGCGTCTCCAGTGGCATTCACGGTCACGACCTGACGCACTGTTAATCCTGGCTGACGCATGCGGAGCACCTCTTCTCTCACTGTTCGGTTGTTTTGCTGCACAGTCCAAATATCAAATGCCCATTATTATTATGATTATGAATATTATTATAGGTGAGAGGTGCTTTGAATATCAGCGGATTTGTCAGAATGTGAATACTGAACCTGATAGATGAATCACATATGCATGAGATCTGAGACAGCAGCCTCTTAGATTTCGTTATTTCCTCTTAGTTGTTTTTGCTGTACAACATTAAATAGGCCTGGTCACGATGATCTTACTTAGGCTGTTATACATGACATATGTTAACGAGGACACACACTGACACAACCACAAGTAGGCCGATTTTACTTTTATGAAACCAACTGTAGAGAATAAATTTAAAGATGTTTAAGGAACGACTATTTTATCCGGACACTTGAGCAAGGCCCTTGGCCATATGCATTTGAGTGTGTAAGTGTGTAAAGTGTATGTGTTGCGGAGCTTTAACCAAAAGTGGTCCACAATACCTGGATTTAGTCTGGAAGGAATCCCGGGGCTTTCAGGCCGTCGCGTCACGCCGCTTCGAAACGCATTATCGAGTCTATGTTGAGCTGCATCTTCTTTTCCTTCGCTTTATCCGAAACAAACTGTTCATGTGTTAAGTTATTCACCGTTATTATGCTCCAGTTGTAAACCTTACTATATTACAAATTCTGCAGGATTGTCCCCATTACACGACAAAGCCATTATACCACACAGAACAACACGATGGATTCCCGTTTGGAAGCGAAACATGAAAAACCAAGTGCACTGACTAAATCTTGGTATATCAACAGTGAATGAGTTCATCGGTATCTGTACTTAAAAACTGGGAATGTTAAATGTTGCAAAACCGGGAATGCGTTTGTGTAAATAAAAACTAATCAAGAGGCAATAAACCTATTTCAAGAACTTAATCCAATAATCTCCTATAAAACACAATATCCAATATAAAATGATTAAAAGGTTACATGTGCTGATGGATCAATATACATAGGCCTAAAATAAATAACAATAAATGTCTTGTTTCTGCAGGTGGAAATTCCTAAGACAAATTCATCATCATCATCCTCGTCATCCTCTTCATCAGCAGGCGATAAGAAGAGTAAAGGACGGACAGGGTGGCCTCAACATGTCTGGGCTCTGGAACTCAAACAGTAGCGCCTCCCTCTCGTGCAGGTCACGGCGCTCTTTACCTCCTGCAGCTCTGCCCTCCAGGGGAGGTATGGGACCTGAA